ATGTCGTAGTCATGAGACAATTTACCTCGCATCCGTGCAATGCCGGGACGGAGCAATATGCCGGGTTTTTGACGGCCCACGCAATGTCTCACAAGGATGTCCAGAGGTTGGTCATTATCCTTGCGTTTGCTGTGCCAAACCAGATATTATGGCATGGGCATCCCGGCTATTGAAACGTTGTCGATTCGGCAGGCACGACTTTCTTCAAGCACCGCAAGGGACTTCGATCTTGCGCGCTCGTACGAAGCAGGCGCGCCACACACAGCGCACACGTCGTTCGTGTGTGACACGCTTGGAGTACTCCACTTCTTGTATACTTCAGGTGAAACAAATCCACAATTTATTTTCCTCTAGTCTAGGGCGGTCCAACTATCCAGTGTTACGCTGATATCCCATAGGTAGCGTGTGAGCCCTAGGACCGAGGCCCACAACAATACAAGCTCACAGGATATACCACCCCATGCCCCATACAGCAGTTTAACAGCTCCATGCCAAGGCAACGGGTGAGACAAACAAGCTTCAAGATCGACGTCGACTCCAAGATCGGCATCCTCCCTCCACTCAGTTGAAACCCCACCCTGGTCTAAGCTTGGGAGCAAGGAATTGAGACCCGCGTACGGGAGCCGCGACTACCGCCTCTCTGCGTATCCACGATGAGGTACTGGGGGGGTGTAAAGGCGACTATCCCGGCGAGGGCTGAATACGATGAAGTATCCAGACTCTTGCAGTCTAGACTAGATATGGAGGGCGTAGATCAGGCCATCGGGAAAGCAACGGAACTCCCCCCGGCCATAGATATGTAGATGGAGGGAGGTGCGGTGTCTGTGCCTTTCCGAGAGGCAGGGCCTCCCTTGCAGCGTCATGTAGACTCTATTTGCTAAGAGCAGCCGACATGAAAGGAAGACTGAAGCTTTAGGGTGCTATTGAATCCTGAGCTGATTTAACGTGGCGTGAGCTAATAAGAGCACGAGTGCCAACGCTCGAACCAAATTGAGTCGTGTGACTGTTGAACGCTAACGAGAGTGGTTCTAAGGTGAGGGAATCTCGGTCACACCCAGGTTGGTTGTGGGGGGGAATGGCAAGCAGTAAAACCTGGTGTGCAGAGATACGGGCCCCGTGGTCGCTACATAGCATGAAGCTTGGCTTGAAGCGAAAACCCCATCAGTCGTTGTTTCGTTCTGTCCGACGACGCACGGTAGCACTCGCACGAGTTCAGTTGTTGGCTCGAACGAAGCTTGAAAAATCCTTTCAGTCGTTGGAAACGACGATTCGGGAGCACTTGCACGTGTGCAGTTTTTGGTTGGTGTGAAACCTTGGTTCGCGGTGAACATCCTATCAGTCGTCGGAATCGACTCGGTAGCACCTGCACGGGCGTTTTTTCAACTTGTGGAGCAAAGTACGGCAGCTCTCGCCAGGCAGGGTAGGCTCGCTCATCTTGTCGGCGACGAGTCAATGAGCGAAGCAGCGGCTGACCCCCCTCGCGCGCCCGTTGTCTCCGTCCCACTCTTCTGTTGTTGTGGTTGTCTTCACATAAAACACCGTTCCAGTCTCCGGTCAGAACCTTGAAACATCCGTACTGGTCTTACTAGCACGTGCTCCTTCTGTGGTCACAGTCCAGCAACCCAAACACGCGGTACACCTCTTTAGAATCAAAGCAACGAAAAATACAAGTGTACCCAGAAAAACTTAACAAAACACAATCTCCAAACGCGATAATACCCGATTGCAAACGAAAGAAAATAACCAGGCTACATGATACTTGTACAGTTTAATTGAGCAGGTGAGCAGCCGTGCTTCCACCGGGTCACTCGTGGGTACGCAGTCGCGACCTTGCGCACGCCCCCACAGCACGATTTTCCAAGAAGGACTACAAGGCAACCAACACCACCACGGAACCAAAGGCGAGAGAGGGGTCTAGACTAGAGTACGGTTTTTCGTCGAGACCATGACTGATTTTCTCGGCTGATGTCGACATCGAGACTGGTTGTTTATTGGCAGATGCCGAGATGGAGACGAATATCGACAGGTGGACGGCCCTCTGTGTACTTGCTCGCATGCACTTACGATAGTTCCGCTTGCCTTTGGGGAATGGACGCGGAAAATGATTCAGGAAAAACACCTGGGGCAGAGACCAGTCCGTGAAACCGCGTTTGACCTGCCAACTCTAGCATGCAATCTGATCGTGCAGACGCAGCACGAGGGCGGAGGCGTCAAAGGTACGCCTCTCCTGAAAGTACCAATCAATAAAATCAATGACAACACATATCCCTATTGATTCAACCAGCGCACAAGCTGGTTTGACGATGAAACCGCCATAACACTCGTTCTCTCGATGACATGACAGGCTGGGGCAAAATACCATGTGTGCCAAGCATTGATATGGCCTGCAACGATCATATTTGAACACCCCCCTGCTCGTCTCGTCCCACACGCACATGGCTGACCGTGGACGGTCGGGCCGTGGCCAATTCAGTCGCCCATGTGCGATTCTCAACCCCAATTCACCCTCAGGTTCAACAGGACCAGGGTCCAGAGCACCAAGCACCAAGCACGTGGTCAAAGCGAACCACATACCTGGAAAGCCGTTCCGCGATATCATTCCCTGGGCCCGCCAGAAAAGTAGCCCCCACAAGACACAAGATTTTCCAAAAATGCGAGAAAGGGGATAAGGTTCCGAGGTCCCACACAACAGCGACCTTCACTGTTCCGGTCCATCGTATTCCTACGGTACCATTCCACACCGAACAAAAACTGTGGAAAACAGGTAACTTCAATGCTGTGACGATTACCGGACGCGGAAAGCAGCCCCACAAGCGACCATTTCAAGAAACGCCTAAACAAATACCACTGAGGAGCACTGAACTGCTTGCCTAAGACAAGGGGTTCAGTTCACGCCTCACATGCACGTCTGCGTTGTTGCGTGTTTTCAACAGTCTGCCAGAGGCCAAACAAGCAAAGCGTTTGGTGGTACCAAAACGGAACATCGCGCAATTACATACTATACGATAACCAACGGCTGCTCTTCGCAAGCAGTCAGCCAAAAAAACGGGACACGGAGAGTCAACTCAACCAGTGCATGTTCTCTCTTACCACCACACATCGGTATCGAACATCCGTTCCAATCAATGTCTCTCCCCCCCTAGACTCACACCCACCTCACTCTACTCTACTTCACTTTCCTCAGCATCTTTGTTCGTCAGACAGGTTGATCTTGCCAGCCACCGGTGCCCATGGAACCGCGTTTTCTCACTCGTCTTCCCCCCCTTCGGTGCTTAATTCAATCCTTGATTGAGGCTACCGTTGGTGATCCGATCAAAATTTCAGTTTTTCAGCGCTAAGCGTAGACTAAACTACGTACGAAGTACTACGCAAGGCAGCCATCGGTAATGCGGTCGAAGTGCTCGGAGTCGACCGCCACCTTGTCGCGCCACCACTCGTAAATCTGGTCGGCGGTGATCGTGTGGAAGTCATCTTCCCTCGTGACGATCACCTTTGTTTGTCGGACACACACGGCACGTACGCACACGGCGGGGTGGGGGCTCAGTGAATCAATCCACATTCGGCGGTGGGGCCTTGCCTCAACCTGTCATGTCAAGCAAACGCATGTGCCTCGTTCTGGGGAAGCTCACGGCCAGGGAAGCCCGTGTCACCCTGTCGGACTAGAGCAGAATACGGGGAGTTTGTACAGGGGAGAGCTCCGAAGGAGGTATTAATGAGCAAACAAACATAACAACGATAGCATCAAAGAACCATTTTTTTCAACCCCACCCAGAAACGGCACGAAGTCGTCAGCTCGCACACATACACTTACCATCAAGACGACCAATCTCAAAGAAACAGGGGGGGGAAAAGTTCAACAAAATAGTCCTCCCTATATTGCCGCTTTCCCCTTCCTCTTCCCGCTCTTCCCCCCCTTATGCTGCCGCATATCACCCGACCCCCTCCCCATTACACCTCTTCCATCAACACCAACGTCTTGTCCGTTCTTGCAACAGTGTAATGCCGCAAAGACACAGGTAAGTCTGTCTCCCCGCTGTGTGAGCTCACCTCGCCCGAGACCTCGGGAAAGCCCGGAACGACGGCGAACGGCGGCTCCTCGAGGTGCTGTCGAGGGAGCACGAAGACCCTCCCCGTGCTGAAGACAACGGTGTGCGGCGTGTTCTCCTCGACGAGGAAGCTGACGCACTTCTCGATCGCCTCGCCTGCGGCCTCCAGATCCTTCCCCAGCGTGTGGAACACCTGGAGGGATGTGGGTGCAGACATTACTTACATCATGCCATTTGCCGACATGGAGAGCTTGTAACTGTCCAGCCACTCCTGCCGTAAGTAATGCCATGTGAACGAACGGCGAGGACCCGTGAGCCTACTTGGGGCCATTGCTTCGACTGGTAGGAACACTTTCCGGTCATTCCCTTCGTCCTTTCCGGTGTTTTGTTCCTTTCGAGAACAACACGGATGTATCTCTAAGGCCTAGGCCATTGTTCATTTTGAAACACATCAGCGTGCTTCGTCCAATCTGGAATACATGGAAGGGAAGTAGGTCGCTGAGGCGGTGGACACATTGTCGCATACAGACATGCCTAGTTTTATTCGGTACATGGCGTAGCGAGCACAAGGAGGTTTCGTTTCGGTTACCGCTCGTCTGAGGCCTATGGCGATTAGTTTGCCTGGGAAAGTGCATGTAACCGGGTACACCTAACTCGGTGCTCGGTGTTTTGACCACACGACGGGTTCGTGCAGCAGCTTGGGCCAAACACCAACGTTCATGCGAAAGCTTCACGAGATCGGATACCCTCTACCCGCTACACTGAACCACCACCCTAATACCCACCAGGCACTGTGGGGCAGGCTCTCCGCAAGGTAGCGACGATTCTCTCCGAGTCGATTGCACGAACCCTTGCCGAAGAGAAAATGTGCTAATTTGTTCCCGTGTGTGCGATATTCTACGCAAACAATAAACAACAAACAATTGCTAAAATGGCGGCCGTCATCCGCCCACACCCCTCCCGGAGGAACCCATTTTCTTTGTTGATTGTTCAAGCTCGTTATGTACCGGCTCATCAACGCTAGGATAAAGACTTCGCCGTATTCACCCCCTAAACCCACGTGCCTTCAGCAGCTTCGGTCGCCCATCCATACACCCCCTGCCACTCGCCTACAGTATAGCTGTCGCGGGTACTTTCATGGGGAGCTCGCCCGCACCTCCTCACCTACCCCGACATGACCTACGGCTGCTGTGCGTGGGGAATTCAGCACGCCCTGCCCTCATCTCGACTCTCACCAGTGCCCTGATCGGGTATCCTTGTAGAACGTGAACCTCAAGGCTGTCTTCCTTGTCCGCCGCGTTTTCGCCCTTCGCGGAGGGGGAGAAGGAAGCGCGTGAAAGAGGTACCGTTGCGAGGTGCCTCGTCTTGGAAGACTCGATCGCAAGACCACGCGGCCCAGCATCAAAGTACCAGCACTATTGACGACAAACCAACACGTTGAGGGAGGGGGGGAGGGCATATCGACGGGAACGGACAGGTAGAGGGGTAGGGAGGGGCGGCAGCGGTCAGTTTCTATGTTGCGCCAAACTGACGTCTGGGTTTATGGACAGAAGGTGCATCGTGCCGAAGACAGGGGTGCTATATATCTGTAAGGAGAAATACCTGTTAAGCGTTTCTGTGAGTAGGAGCTCTTGCAATGCAGCTTGACATGCAGAGGCGGGCAACCTGTCATCAAAGGTAGCCTATTGCTGATTGTTTTCGTGTGGTAGATTTTGTCTCTCCGCCGAAAACAACGAATCAACGTCAACGAGCTGTGTCGCAACTCGGGGCAAAGATGGACGGTTTGCAAGAACGAGTTGAACGCCGGCTTTGCTTACGGAATAAATCCCTACGAGATGTGCGTAGCCTAGAAGAGACGTCTGTGTCTCAATGAAAAACCCGCCAGCATCCACACGCACACCGCAACACCACCGCACATGCGTCGATCCACCAGTCATCCCACCTGCCTGAAAGTGGAGGTGGTTCACTGAGGCCGACGAGCCCGCGCTGTTGAAGCCCAGACGGAACCCAGGGTCCACCCTCAGCGCCTCGGCAAAGTCTATGGCAACTGCCAACGAATACGCGGTCGCACGCTGGTTGTGCGAGTGGGGGTACCTGTGGCAGACGGGAATGTAAACAAAGTACGTTGAAAGGGTAGCTTGCGGGTTTGTTCGGAAGTTTGTTTGAGGACCGGGCGGTCTGTTGACCGATTCCAAGTTCACCACGAAATTCTCAACAAACACGCAGGTATGTCCATTTTTGCAAAGGCGAAGTGTCAACGATCGTTCTCCTTACAAAAACGCCAGGCACGCCTTGTTTGCCCGACCCTCCTTCCTTTGGCAACCACAACGCGCTTTGAGGCTGTTCTGTAGCAACACAGCGCGGCCATTGCGGCACGCGGGAAACAGCACCGCGCCGGGAGGGACAACCAGGCACCAAAAAATGTTCAGAGTCGTCCCTCGGAAGTCCAGTGCGTGGCAACACTCCAGGATCGTTGCGAAATAAGCACCCGGGGAAATATTGCAGTTGTCTTTTCGGGAGGAGAATGGGCGCAACCGACCCCTTCTCTGTCCCCCTCCGTGCGAGAAGAGGGAACCAGAACGTGTGTTTCATCTACCTGTCACGGTATTCTCGCGTTCTCAAGTTCTCAAGTAACGCAGAGGTTCTCAGCTCTCGTACATAGCTCACCCGGGCGTCAAGAGAAGGCTCACGGGACCGACAGGCCGGATGTTAACCAAGACCGCGTCCTGCGGAGGAGACGCAGTCGAGGCTTCCCCGCACCCCACCGCAGGCGCAACGCCGTCCACATTCATCTGCAAACCGACCCCGCCACCGCGTCGGGCGGAGGTAATCGTTACCGTCTTGCCTTCTCCCACCGCTGCTGATCCTCTCGCTGCTTTCGCTGCCGCTGAACCTGCCGCTTCTACGTCTGCTTCGACCAACACCCCGCCGTTGTCTTCTGCCTGTGTTCTCCGCCCAGCGGCGGCGGCGGCTGCTGCTATTTCTCGTTCGTACCGGAAGCTCGGCGTGTAGGAAAGCACGAACTCTAACGGGCTGGCCTTGTAGAAGTTGAACGCGTATGGGTCCCAGGGAGACTGTGATGTCACAAGTGGCGAAACAAAGAAATGGTTTGCCGATAAATGAAGCACAGTCTGTAGTTTTACCTACTTTCAGTCTTGTAAACTCTAGACTCCCTCCCCACACATGACGCTAATCTTGAACAAATGGCCAGCGTGTCGGTGTATGAGACAACAGCCATATTCCGGTGTAGGGCATAGGATTGATTTGATTGCTTCTCGCTGAGTGACGTGCGCGATACAAAAGAAAAAACAAGCTCGAGAAGCTTCGGCGAGCGACCACGATATTGCAGCGCTAGGTCGGCGGCATCGGTTTGCCGTCCCTGTTTCACGCCGTCCGATCTGTGCGCGAGGCTGGCGTGAACATATAGCATGGCGAGTCACGCTCTTACAATGCAATAAGGCGGGCATATTTGGAACGGCACGCGGAGGGCGGCCGCTGCTGATATCTCCCTCTCTAAGGGTAAACCCCACATTTTTCCAACAACAGCGCCGTGCCCGTTTTTCGTCTCTCTACCAAACGTAGAAAAAGAAGTTGTGTTCCCACTCACGCCGGAGGCAACACCGCAAGCAGGATACTTGAAACGTCGTTTCTCGACCTTACCTCGGCGGGACCAGCTGGCGGGAAGGGTTTATGCCGCCCTACGCCATCCGGTAGGCGAGCATCATCGCCGGAGGAGAGATTGAGAGAAGCGACGCGATGGAAACGTCGGGAGGGACTTGAGATCATCGCTACTACAATGAAGGCTCGCGTGCCACCGCTACGAAAAAATCGTGAGGATGCACAGAGTAACCGTTTCGGCAGCAGTCAACTAGAACAGCGACGAAGAAGAGTTTGCGTGTTGCATATTGCCACTTATAGATTCCCAAAAGCCTTCCGACTTGCGGCCGCAAGCGAGATTTTTATGGCAAAACCATTGTCGCTAGCTCTGACCCAAGAGCGAAGAGGGAAATATTCCACTCGTCTCATCTTGCCGCTGCTTCGTACAGGCCGTGTGAACAGGAAAGGTGTTGCATATTGCCACTTATAGATTCCCAAAAGCCTTTCGACTTGCGGCCGCAAGCGAGATTTTTATGGCAAAACCATTGTCGCTAGCTCTGACCCAAGAGCGAAGAGGGAAATATTCCACTCGTCTCATCTTGCCGCTGCTTCGTACAGGCCGTGTGAACAGGAAAGGTGTTGCATATTGCCACTTATAGATTCCCAAAAGCCTTTCGACTTGCGGCCGCAAGCGAGATTTTTATGGCAAAACCATTGTCGCTAGCTCTGACCCAAGAGCGAAGAGGGAAATATTCCACTCGTCTCATCTTGCCGCTGCTTCGTACAGGCCGTGTGAACAGGAAAGGTGTTGCATATTGCCACTTATAGATTCCCAAAAGCCTTTCGACTTGCGGCCGCAAGCGAGATTTTTATGGCAAAACCATTGTCGCTAGCTCTGACCCAAGAGCGAAGAGGGAAATATTCCACTCGTCTCATCTTGCCGCTGCTTCGTACAGGCCGTGTGAACAGGAAAGGCACTAAATAGCAACGAAAGCTTGACCAGACAAACTAATCATGTAAAAAAGACTCAAAACGCAAGTGGACGATCACCCCAGAAAGCCTACAAAACGTGCCGCCACTTGAGAACCTGGGAGTTAAGAAGATCATCAGGCTCAAGATCAGAAAAACTATTCATTTGGCAGATGGACAGGTGGTCATTGAGAAGCCCTACCAAAAGCCTGTGTAGTCTATGTAGGGTTACCCCACAGCGGAATAACGAACAAGCCCCGGGAAAATACGAGGTTCATGAGTGGTGGCGCACCTTCTGTATGAGAACAGACAAGGATGACAGTAGGACCGTCTTCACGAACACAAGTCAACCCGACCGAGTCCACCAAACAGGTAACGAGCGAGGCAGTGCTCGAGTCGCTCACCAACATTCGACGCGAACACCACTTCCCACCCGGTTTCCTGCCCGACATCTCGTCGCTCGTTCAGCTCGGCGACTTCGTACGCCAACACCCCTCGCTCGTGCTTCAAATTCCAGAACCACCTTAGCACCTGGGGCAGGGAAGGGTGTCCAGCAGCAGCAGCAGCAGCAGCTACGCCGCTGTCGCCGCCGTCTTCTCTCCCCTTCCGCACGAACGTCAGCACGCTGCCGGCCTCGCCGCCGTAGACGAACCCGTCCTCGGGGCCCGTGCACCCCGCTACGGTCTCTATCCATGCCGCCGTCCCCGCGGCGCCCCCGGCACCACGGCCGGTAGCGTCCCTACCGCCGTAGTCATAGCGGCCAGTCTGTTGGGCAGCACTATCAAACACCGTTCGATGCCGGTGGGAGAGCGGCCGCGGGCTCTTGGCCGATGAACCGAGCATGGTGGTGAGCCCGTCACTGGCTACCAAGAGCGTCAACGTGCCTGCCGTTGGTCCGGGGGAAGGGGGGCAGGGCGGGGCGAGAGGGGGGCGCCCTCGTTCTTGTGTTCCTTCCCTTGAACTTTGAATGACACCCTACTGTACATAAATACGGCGTCTGATGATCGTGCTCGAGATGGTTGGCGATGACGCTGGTGGCCCACCTCTCGGACGGTGTGTCAACCTTTACATACGCCACCTTCCCTCACATAAAGGGTTTGAAGGCGCCTACTACAGTAGTGTATGCCTCACGAATACCTCTCCTCGGCCCCGTACTTCAGGATAAAAACCCTGGTGGTGGTCCGCCGGAATCATGTAGCTGAGCATATCGCGCAACTCCACTTGAGCTGCACCGATCTGGAGAGCCAATAAACAATGAAACAAGATGCTTGATGGAAGCCCTCAGCAGACTTGTGTGTGTAATTAATATTAACATGGATCACACCAACCGGCTACAAATGAAAATAAGTCAGTCTCAGAAAATTCAAAATGCCTTTAGTGTGTGTGTCCTTCCTAGAACTCGACGGTTCTTTCTGCATGACCATGGGGGAACATTGGAGGAAGACGTAAACAAACAACATGAGCAGCTTGTGTTTTTCCGCCACTCTGCTGCGGTGCTTGCCCTACTGCCGTACTAATAGTGCAACGCATGACGGAAATCGCTTGTATGTCTGGATCAACAACACAGGGTGCGGGACTTGCTCTTGTCATCGTGTTTTCCCGGCCTCCCAGCAAAATCAACGGCAGCGTGATGTAGGAGACACTGCAGCAGTCGTTCCGTCTTCCACTGCTTCCACGAGGGATGGCATCATTTTCCGGCGAACTTGGGAGAACGAGAAAAATCAAAATCCGTGATACACACACTAATAGTGTGGCCTGTTCATGGACCTTTGGTGGCCTCCCTGATTCTTGCTGTATCATGCTGCCGATTCAACGCACAAGGCACTCTTTCCCACCATATGTCACACGCACAGCAGCAAGTAGTCTTAGTACTCACTCGGTACCTACCTGGTACATGTAGACATTTACCACTCAGTTGCAACACGGCCGTACACGTAGACTACACTGGCTTTTTGGGTGGTCTTCCATTCCAAACATCTTGCACACCCGGAATAAGAACGATTGCGATCAATTGGACTACGTATGCGTATGGCTTTGGCGGTGTTACTGAACGTGGTGGCAGGGCCAGCCCTTTCCATCCACGATGCCTTGTTCAACCATAGACCCGCCTTGGAGGCAAGCTTGAGCGTTTCCAAACCTATGCATATTTCGGTCCTACGAAGCTGCTGCACTACTACTGCTGCTGTGTATGCCTACATGCATACTTGTGGTTACTACAGCAAGTGACAGCAGGTGATCGGCGAACAGCAGGTAGTCTAAATGTAACCCCGCACGAGCAGCTCGGTTTGCCCACCTGCGGCTAGAGTCCCTAGGATCGTCTTCCCAACCAGACGCCTCCCATTGGGCCAGTATCGTTCTCGATGTACACCATCACCTGCTCCGGACGTGCCGCCTGCAGGCTCATTGGCAGGTGCTGAACAGCAGTGTCCCTCTGCCAATTCGACTGCTGGTGCGGGTCGATTGCCGTCCACGGCAGTATGCGTAGCACCGTGAGGGATACCATGCTCTGTTACCGCGGTTCTTGTTCTCCCAGCAAAGCTAGAACTGCTCGCGCCTGCACCTCTCCGGGGGGAATGGTGTGGCCGACTGGCCGACTGCGTGTCGGACCCCCCTTCCGGCTGTGCGACGCGTCGATGGTGAATCATGTCGTCCGTCCTGTGGCGCTATGTAGGGCGGAACATCTCCCGTGTGAGTGGAACAGTGTGGAACCTTCGCGTACGTTCCGAGTTCTGAGCTTGCTACTACCCCAGCAAGCTCGCGCCCCCCGCCGCGTTCACCCCTCTCTCACCAGATATGCCTTGTGGAGGCAGACTATGCCAGGCGGGTACTAAGTAGTGTGCTGCAGCACTCCAATCAGCAGGCCTGACTTTGCCGCCATCAGACAGCCGATCGGCGCAACATGCGGCATTGGCGGGGGGGGTCCGCCAATTCGCGAGGGGAGATTTCGTAGATCGCTCCAGAAAGCACAATTTGCAACCCACAGGAGGGCGGGCGGCGTCCTGCAACATAGCACGGCGCTGACGCATCATGGAAGACTAGAGCACTTGTGTGTGTTGCGCAGGTACTGATAGGATGCGTGATCAGGTACCATCCGCGCATCTCCACGTGGTTCTCGTTTGTAAGCGTACATGCATCTATTACTCCGCCATATCGGATCACTCAATCGAATTCACCTGCGTTGCAGCCCACGGAAAGGAGGGCCTTTTCTTTATTCCTGACAATAAACATGATAGCACGATTGTACAGGGTTTAATAATATAATAAGGTTACTTTTTTTTTTTGAAAAGTTCTAGATGTAGTGCCGATCCATAACTCTAGACCAAGTTGCCGATGTTCTGGCCGCCGTCCCGCACTCCGTGCACAACAGAAGCCCTGTGATTCAGCAGAATGGCGAAGTCGCTCCTGCTCAACGCGCTGCACGACGCGCTGTCGGACTATGTGGTTGGACTTTCGCCCGAACGCCTCAAGGTCGGGGTGTGGTCGGGCAAGATCGTGCTGGATGAACTGCAGGTGGGCTGTGTGCTCGTTCATCAAAGCATGTGTGTGCTCCAACTCAGTAGTACACTGCTGCTGTAACTACAACCCGGTTGGTGCATCGCCTCTCCGTTATCCATCCGGTTCGATTGAGACATGCGCTTCTTCTTGCGCTCTTGCGGCGGCGGCCGGTCATCGGGCCAGATTTTCCCAACAACTCACCGTTATCTCGGTGAATTCAAGGTTGATAATCGGGACACCTTGGCAATAGCTGTTGCGCACCGTAAGGATGCGGGCCATGGCGAGGTCATTGTATAGATTACTGCTGTCCGATCGTCTTTTTTTTATCATTATTGTCGGTTTTTCTATCGCACACAGGGGGGTGCCAAGACGCCGATACGTGCCATGTACCCGACCTGTACGGGACATGAATGAAATGCTTGGTCCTGAAAATATAACGCACACCCCCATGCGATGACTCCGATCCGTGCGATTCTGACTAAGTACAAAGCAACGCGTGGGGTGTATTGAACGCGCACCCCCGTGCCAAGACTCCGATGTGTGCGATCCTGAACAAATCACAGCAGACATACACCAGCACTTCGTGTGCGTGCGCAGGTATTGCAGCGTCAGGACCACAACATAACGATCACAGACAGACGCAACACACCCAGCACCCAGCAGCCCAAAATGCGGCAAAATATAAATTCGAGGCGGCGAGGCGGTAGTTGCCTTGAAATTCCCTCACTACAGCAGGTCTGTGCTCTCACCTGTGCTCTCACACACACCACACGCAAGCAACACGTTGGCTACGATATCAGAGGGTGCAAGCGCGTAGTCTGTATTTTTCGTAGTACCGTTGTTGGTTGTGGTCTTTTGGTGTCGTGTGGTTTCTACGCGTTGGTGGTTGACTTGAGTAGAAACCATTTGCCGATTCCGATAATAGTTACAAAGTTGAACAACATCACTTGCACATGAGCAACGTTACGATGCCAAAGTACAGCAGTGAAGCCCCTAATACAAGCTATGCACCTTGGTACAGCCGACCCCGCTTTAAGGACGCACATGGTTTTTCGCGAAGAAAAGCGTCATTAAAGCGGGGTTGCGTCCTTAAAATTCGGGGGACGATAGCTCACCATCCCCTGGGCCAATGGAGGCATGCTATTCCTCAAACTACGCGTCTTTTTTCTGGAAGGGTGTGGTACGAAAAGTCAGCATCGCCGAGACGACCGGCAACCGTTAGTTGACGTCGAACACATTTTCAATACTTGAAATGAGATGTACAGCAGTCGGGGACGTGTTGAAAGCAACTACAGCAGTAGTACACCAGTTTGTACATGGCCAAATAATGTACTGCATAGCGGCAGCGGAAGGAGGGACGTCCAAGTAGACATATATTTATCTCATTCTTGTGAAACAAAAGACAAACGAGCGTATGTCAGCGTCGCGCCGAGGAACACCAGTACATAAAACTGTCACGACGGAGACCGTGACGTGACGGCTTCTCCCTCCACATATCGCGAAGAGTCCCCTGAACCTCCCCCCGCGGCTTGGCTCCACGGCTCTGTTGAGTCGCATGAGTAAACGAATGAACGGTCTTCTAAAGAAGGTGCTGCGTCTCACGGTACTCGCCACCCCTTCCCTTCACGTACAAGTAGGATCGAACGTCCTCGAAGCGAGAGATAACCTCGCCCTCGGTGAGGGACGAGGTTATGCACGACTTTTTTTTCACGGTATCAAATGGACCGCCGGTAGATGGGAGGAATCTATCCATACCAACACCCTGTTACAGCTGCAGCAGCAGACCCCTCGCTACTTCTGCTGTCTGCGCGTCGCTACTTGTGTACTCACTGTGGTGCGTGGTGCGTGCAAAGAGCGGCCCGCAGGGCACATGAAAGGATGGTACGCGGTAGAAAATGGGGGTACCCCATTATCGTACATTCGGCGTGGCCCCCCGGTGCTCAGCAAAAACAGTCTTTAAGGCGGGAAGTTTCTTTGACGCGAGCGTCCTTAAAGCGGGGTCAACTGTACAGCAGTGACCCGTGACAAAAGCTGGATACCACGGTATCATCCAACCTCGCCAAAGGTATCGGGGTCTCCGCACAACCCTGTGCGAAGCGAACGATACCTGTGCGATACTCAATCAAGTCCCTTGGAACCCGATTTTTTTCCGCACCCCCTGTGCCAAGCCCCCCCCGGGTTTTCGTCGCTTGGCAACGACGTTGTAAAACAAGCCGCACCCCGGTTACTCGCGTCGAGCAAGCTGAACGACCAGACCAACCACGCGAAAACTGCGGAGCTAGATGTGCGGCACGCACAATGCATTGTTTTCGATTGGAGAGAGGCGAGTACAAAACAGTAAGGAATTGTTGGCCAAACTTTCGGCAGATAGGTCTACTCGGGAGCGTAAGTGGGGTAGCAACCCATGGTGGAGCGTACATGAGAAGCTGGACGTTGGTGTACGCTCCATCCCGGCGTGTGAGTAGGATCTTAGGCTATGCAAGTCGTCCCTGAACTTATTGTGGTGAAAATGACCTCCCAGGAGGAAAGTAGCCTGTACCGCGGGACTTCGGAGATGATAAATTGG